TTATCACCAATTCTGTTCAACTTGTAAAGCGAATGCCTTACCATGAAAGCTCTGGATGGGCTAGGTGACTTCAAAGTAGGAGGGCAAATTTTTCAAACTGTGAAATATGCAGATGACCTTGTGTTAATGGCTAAGGAAGAAACTGTGCTACAGGGCATGATTGATAGACTAATTGAAATTGGAAGGTGCTATGGCATGGAAATGAATGTGGAGAAAAGAAAAGTAATGAAAATTTCGAGACAACCAACCCCAGTCACAATAAAGATAGACCAAAAACAAGTGGAGAATGTGAAATGTTTTAAATATTTGGGTAGCCTGTTGACAGATGATGGAAGATGTACTTGTGAAACTAATTCCAGGATTGCCATGGCAAAAGCTGCATTTAGCAAGAAGAAGAATCTTTTTACCAGCAAATTGGACTTAAATTTGAGGAAGAAACTAGTGAAATGCTACATTTGGAGCATAGCTCTGTATGGGGCTGAAACATGGTAACTTAGGGCAGTAGATCAGAAACATCTGGAAAGTTTCGAAATGTAGTGTTGGAGAAGAATGGAGAAGATCATTTGGACCGATTATGTGAGAAATGAAGAAGTGTTAATTAGAGTCAGTGAGCAGAGGATTATCCTACATGAAATAAGAGAACGGAAGGCTAATTGGATTGGTCATATTTTACGCAGAAACTGCCTTCTAAAAGAAGCTATCAAAGGAAAGATAAATGGGCGGATAGAAGTGACAAGAAGACGAGGAAGAAGACGTAAGAAGATGCTGGATGAACTTGGGGACAGAATAGGATATTGTCATTTGAAGGAGAAAGCTCTAGATCGCATTAAGTGGAGGAATTGTTTTGAAAGAGACTGTGGACCTATCGTCTTGACAGATTACTGATGATGATAATGATGTCGTATCTCACTACGCGACTCACACCTATCCTCTTCTGTCGGGGCACTCTTTCTACTTTCGTGTGTGTATTGTGCTTTGTGTTGTGTCTTGCTCCTGTGACTGCGTGTGTTATACTGCCTATATAACACAGAGACGTGATAATGGCAGCGGCGAAGATAATTTCCAGTGCGCTCGCAATTCCTGGCTTTGGACCAAAGGAGGTGATGGCAAAATTAAAAATTTGAGGAGTAGTTATTGTCAGGAGTTGAAGAAGATAGCCGATAGTGAGCGGTCAGGAACCGGCACTGATAACATTTACGTACAAAAAGTCTTCTGGTTTCACCAAATGTATTCTTTCATTAGCCCATTTGTTCAGCAACGAGTCACACAATCAAATTTGGTAAGTGCAATAAAAGGTAATATATATTTTTAAATTATGTTNATTTTTTTTTTAAATTATGTACTTCCTATATTTTCGAACTACTTTTTTTTTATTTAGGATCACAAAATGGTACGTATTATAAAAAATCCTATTAAAAAAATTAAAAATATATATTATGACTAAAAAAATAATAGTATATAATATAGTTATTAGGTATATTTAGTTGTAAGATAAATCTATTAATTATTTTAAAAAGTGGTATTGTAATTAACCTGTTAACTGGGTATGACTTTTTGAGACGGATGTGCTCTACAGTGCGGCATTTGGCACATCATTGAGTAGTGCTGTTTGCCAGGGCACAGCTCCAACGTTATTAAAGTAATCGCGGTATTTATCCCGAAGTTGTTGTGGATTTCTGTGAGGACTTGACGGAATGTTCCTTAAGCCAGTAATGTGATTCTGACGCCAGGATCCGGGGACAATACGATGGTTTTCATCTCCGTAATCAATTAAACCGCTTGAGATGTAGGTGGGATTTGCTTTCCTCAGCCAATTATGCAACGTGCAGCAGGCGAGCACTACCTTGTCCACCGATTCTAATTTTAAAGATATTGGTTTTTCAAACACTCTGAATTTACTCACAAGTATGCCGAAAGTATTTTCTATCACTCTTCGAGCCCTTGAAAGTCGATAGTTGTAAATTTTTTCTTCTTCGGACAAGTTACGTCGCCTGTACGGTTTCATCAAATACGTCTTTAACGGAAACGCATCGTCCCCTACAATTACGAAATCAGTTGGTATTGGTAAGCTGTTTGTCTCTAAAGCGTTGTATAAAGAGCTGTTTTGAAATACTCCTCCATCAGAACCTCTTCCTTTAGCGCCAACGTCAACATACAGTAAACAATAATCGGAGTCAGCTAAAGCCATTAATACAATACTGAAACTATTTTTATACTTGTAAAAATCGGATCCATTAGCAGGAGGGGCACGTATGATAATGTGTTTTGCGTCCAGAGCTGCTACACAGCCTGCAAAATTCCATCAATTTCTAAATCCATATTCAACATATTTCCAATCATCTGATGTTGCCGGCACCTGAAACAAAATATTTCATGTTTTGATTGCAGGAGTTACCAACCAACACCACAACAGAGTCACAAGTACAACAATAAGAAGTGGAGCCGTCGCAATCTCCACCCCAACATCAAAGGCCTATTGACGATTTCAATGAGACGGTTCCAGGACCATCCCACACCACAGAAGAAACTGAGACTTTAGTGCCAATTCGCAAGCGAAAAATGCTTTCAACAGAACCCCGGCAGTCATCCTCAAATAAACAACCTTTACATGACCACCAAATTGATTTTATGTCAGGTGCCATTGAAAATTACAAGATATTTCTAATCGTGCTGCACAAATAACGAAAGATGACACATATGACTCTTTCGGGAAATATGTTGTGTCCATGTTACGCCAGATTGGACCTCCAACCGCTATCAGACTGCAAGAGAACATTGCTTCTCTACTAGTTAACGCTATGTGCCCACCAACCAGTCAACATTAAATACAAGTAGAGAGTCAAGTATGACTGGAATTTCTGATGATTTCTTCTTTACGCAGTTATGATGAGCTATTGTTACTAATCAGAACACAAAAAATATCCTCATGTTAGTTATAATAAAATGTTACTGTAATAATTATTGTAGCTATAATAAAGTACCTACCTACTAAAAAATGGGTTTGCTGGAATAAACGATTTGTTACAAAACAGCTGTAATAAATTGATAAATTGGGTCTTCGGACTTTATCCTTCGTACTGGTTTTTAAGTTAACTAATAACAACACTACGTTTTGGAAACTGGATCTGTTTCAATTCCCAGGTGAAGGAAAACTCATATTCTGTTGTTTCCATTAGAAAGAGCTAGCTTCAAACACTGGACAAACCGATGTCACAAAACATGAAGATTATAAACACCTGAGACCAGGCTAAGTCCATGAGAGCTAATAAGAAAAATTATCATAAGAAATTGGTGCAAACACATACAAGCGTGGAACTGGGATAGATAGATCTGTAGAAATTTATGCCACGAAACCAAACTCATAACCAAGTCCATGACCCCACGGCATGGAATAGAAAGAAAAACTAGTAACAAAAACTAATAGTGTCTAACTAGCGTCAACAATGGCCTAAATCACTTCTATCTAATTTAGAACTTAATAGAAATGAATAAAAGCATATATCACCTCATACAGATCTTCTATGTGAATTGGTGACTTCATTGCTGATAATGGGGATCCAAATGGGAGAAAAGTCCAAACTGGGTTGGCTAATTGGGTTGGCCGAGCATGCCATATGGGCCGCTTCCTTGTATTTCCTATACCTGATGTGGCTTTCAATATCCAAAATCTTAGCTTCATCCCAGCCCTATGTCCCTCTTCATAGGCATGTTGGGCTAGTTTAGATTTTTCTAGAAGACTTTCTTTTAGGTTTTGCCTATGTTCCCGGAGCCGCACGGCCAGAGGTCTGCCTCTTTCGCCAATGTAGCTTCTGCCACATTCACAGGGAATGCTATAGACGTACTGTACCGTCTGTTGCGGATCTCTTTTCGGTCTAGTTTTCATAAGGGAGTTCCTAAGTGTGTGTTTCGTACGGAAGATGGTCCTAATATTATATCGAATACCTATCCGTTTAAACTTTTCAGACACACCCTTCACATATGGAATATAAACAGAACACAGAGGGCTTTCCTCTTTCTTCGGACGACTACTGCCCGTGGAATTAATGACCGAGTCAATGAAACCTTTGGGATAACCGTTCAACGGAAGATCGTGTCTCAGGTTGTTAATTTCTCTGACCAAATCTCGTCGATCTTGGTATATGGTAGAGGCTCTGTCGTGGAGACTTTTTATCAAGACCCCTTTTACATGCGGCGGATGGTTAGAATTGAAGTTGAGATATTGGCCAGTGTGGGTGGGTTTCCTGTAGACCTGTGTGGCTAGTGCCGTCTTTTCGGGGATTACCAAAACGTCCAGAAATTAGATCGCATTGTTAGACTCAGTTTCCATGGTGAAGCAGATGGAAGGCCTTAAACTGTTGAGGTGGTCGAAGAAAGTCTGTAATCTCTCTGGACCATGAGGCCAGACTACAAAAGTGTCATCCACGTATCGCAGCCACAACGATGGTTTGTACGGAGCTGAGTCAAGAGCTAGTTTTTCAAAATGCTCCATGAAGATGTTGCTAACAATGGGCGAGAGAGAATTTCCCATAGCCATGCCATCTTTCTGTTGGAAGAACTTGTCGTCAACCTGAAAATAGGTGGTTCTCAAACAGACTTCCAGCAGCTCCATGATGGCTTCGACCTGCAAGACAGACCGTTCCGTCAGTGTGACATCGTCGTGGAGTTTGTTTTCAATGATTTTTAGGACCTCGTCTACTGGTACATTAGTGAAGAGACTGAAGCTTCGAAACAACAGACTCCACCGCACATGCCATATCCAAGTTCGAGTGTGGACGTGTTACTGAAAAATTCAAACCCTTCATAAGGACTGCTTCCTCAGAGTCCCTTAAAATATATTTGGATCGATTGAGGATGAATTTCTTAGATGCTGAGGCTGAGGTAGAAGGGGCTCTATTCTGTTGGCTGTTGAGACGGGAATATTTGCGAATATGAATATCTTTCTGCTTATTGAAGATTTTCTTGAATGAACTTTCCACAGCGGTAAAGATAGGCTTTGGTCGGAAATATTTACGGATGACTTGAGAAATTCCTCCAGTTGATTGACTTCATATAGTTGGGAAGTCTTCTTAGGCCAATGATAGTGTAACCTATCCCTAAGAAGTGCCTGGCTGGCACGTAAGGCAATTTTGGAAGTCCGTCGACTATTGAAGGGCGTCTTTACCGAGAAGGCTTTGGGGATGATACCCTGAGATTTGCATCCTGTTGTTTCGAAGCTTCAACAGACTAAGGGCATGGAATTCAGGTGGAAAGTTAGATCCATGCTAGAGAAGTCTAAGTCCACCAGACATAACATGACCACGAAGAACTGAAAGCCGTGAAATCTGAAATTAGGATTCTTCGAGCAGACAAAGGCAACTGCACAGTGGTTTTGGATGAATCCGAATTCAAGGATAAGTTAAACACGTTGCTAGAGTCCGGGGTTTACGAAACCTTGCCCAAAGACCATACAGCTAAGGTGGAGAGGAAAGTACAGAAACTCCTTTTTAAATATAAAACCACTCTTCCGACCGATCTTAAACACAGGCTGACTCCATACCACAGCAAACCTCCAAATCTGTATGGTCTGCCCAAGATTCACAAAGCGGGTATTCCTCTGAGGCCTATAATAAGTTCGATTGGTTCTCCTTGCTATGCACTGGCCGGCTTTAGCCATAAGATACTGAATCATTTTGCTGGTAAATCCGACAATTTCGTTAGGAATTCGGCCGACTTCGTTCAGTTATTAAAGACTGTTAACCTCCATTCTCAAGATACTCTCGTTAGCTTTGACGTTGTCAGTCTCTTCACTAATGTACCAGTCGACGAGGTCCTACAAATCATCGAAAACAAACTCCACGACGATGTCACAGTGACGGAACAGTCTGTCTTGCAGGTCGAAGCCATCATGGAGCTGCTGGAAGTCTGTTTGAGAACCACCTATTTTCAGGTTGACGACAAGTTCTTCCAACAGAAAGATGGCATGGCTATGGGAAATTCTCTCTCGCCCATTGTTAGCAACATCTTCATGGAGCATTTTGAAAAACTAGCTCTTGACTCAGCTCCGTACAAACCATCGTTGTGGCTGCCATACGTGGATGACACTTTTGTAGTCTGGCCTCATGGTCCAGAGAGATTACAGACTTTCTTCGACCACCTCAACAGTTTAAGGCCTTCCATCTGCTTCACCATGGAAACTGAGTCTAACAATGCGATCTCATTTCTGGACGTTCTGGTCATCAGGGAAAAGACGGCACTAGCCACACAGGTCTACAGGAAACACACCCACACTGGCCAATACCTCAACTTCAATTCTAACCATCCGCCGCATGTGAAAAGAGGCTTGATAAAAAGTCTCCACGACAGAGCCTCTACCATATGCCAAGATCGACGAGATTTGGTCAGAGAAATTAACAACCTGAGACACGATCTTCCGTTGAACGGTTATCCCAAAGGTTTCATTGATTCGGTCATTAATTCCAAGGGCAGTAGTCGTCCGAAGAAAGAGGAAAGCCCTCTGTGTTCTGTTTATATTCCATATGTGAAGGGTGTGTCTGAAAAGTTTAAACGGATAGGTAATCGATATAATATTAGGACCATCTTCCGTACGAAACACACACTTAGGAACTCCCTTATGAAAACTAGACCGAAAAGAGATCCGCAACAGACGGCACAGTACGTCTATAGCATTCCCTGTGAATGTGGCAGAAGCTACATTGGCGAAACAGGCAGACCTCTGGCCGTGCGGCTCCGGGAACATAGGCATAACCTAAAAGAAGGTCTTCTAGGAAAATCTAAACTAGCCCAACATACCTATGAAGAGGGAAATAAGGCTGGGATGAAGCTAAGATTTTGGATATTGAAAGCCACATCAGGTAGAGGAAATACAAGGAAGCGGCCCATATGGCATGCTCGGCCAACCCAATTAGCCAACCCAGTTTGGACTTTTCTCCCATTTGGATCCCCATTATCAGCAATGAAGTCACCAATTCACATAGAAGATCTGTATGACGTGACATATGCTTTTATTCATTTCTATTGAGTTCTAAATTAGATAGACGTGATTTAGGCCATTGTTGACGCTAGTTAGACACTATTAAGTTTTGTTACTAGTTCTTCTTTCTATTCCATGCCGTGGGGTCATGGACTTGGTTATGAGTTTGGTTTCGTGGCATAAATTTCTACAGATCTATCTATCCCAGTTTCACGTTTGTATGTGTTTGCACCAATTTCTTATGATAATTTTTCTTATTAGCTCTCATGGACTTAGCCTGGTCTCAGGTGTTTATAATCTTCATGTTTTGTGACATCTGTTTGTCCAGTGATTGAGGCTTGCTCTTTCTAATGGAACCAACAGAATATGTGTTTTCCTTCACCTGAGGACGGAAACAGATCCACTTTCCGAAACATCGTGTTTTTATTAGTTATTTTAAAAATCAGGATGAAGGATAAAGTCCGAAAACCCAATATATCAGTGTGTTATACACCATCGTCAGAATCCTATAGTAAGTAGCTGTCATAAATGACTTATTAAAAAAAATTGTACTTATAACATTTCGCTTACCTCTATGAATTCTTTAAGTGTCTAGTGAATAGCTTTGCAGGTCTCGGGTATGAATTTACTAATTGTACTTTCTAGAACACGAAATAAAAATTTCAGACTCTTGAAAGGGTCTCCTGTGGCTAAATATCGTAAAGTCACTTGAAGTTTTGTTTTTGCACTTACTGACTGTCTCATATTAGTATCTGATTTTGCGACCAGTGGTGAAACGCGTTCCAGAACAAAATCAAATTGGTCTTCAGACACTCGTAGTAAGTTCTTTAAATCATCAGGGTAACTATTTCTGAGTTCCATGTCAACTAAATTGTGTGGCCCTAATTTCCTATTTAGAATCCACTTCCTAACACATCATCGCCTTTTCTTCCGTTTTCCTTTCATTTCCACCATATGATTCATTCTCTGCGGTGAAATAGCAGCAAAAACTGAACCCACAACAGCACAACTTTCTATGAGGAGCTCGTTAATGATCGGCTTTCCGCGATCAACTGAATCACGTCTTTGTAGACACTTCAGCCAGTGTGAACTACTCACGACCCACGGCTGGTAGGTTCACGCCTGCAAATTCACGAAAGCAAGTACGAAAGCTTTGCACGTTTTCGTATCCACACCCCGTGGGAACGTAGCATAACAGTGAGCACTGCATAGAAATGAGTTTCCACGGTTATAATAAATGCTCGTTTGCATGGCAGCGACCGAGTTTATAGAAAGGGTCGAATGCATTCGTCAAGTCAGCCTTTGGATAGATGCCGAAGGATACATTACTCAGTCTGGTATTAACCGCCGAAGAAGACAGTCTTCGGGAAGCTGCCACTGAAGATAGTTGGAGCTACAGAAGTATTGGCCGAGATATTGTGTAAGCAGTAATTGTCACACTGCAAGTGATAACGATTGTAAAGCGTGTGGTTGTATAAGTGAAGAACAATAAAGGTTCTACTGAATCCGAGACCCACATATATTTATTTGTCTCGGACACACAAAACACGTGACAATATAAAATTTGCATTTTACAGCACATGCCTCCATATCTTTGTCTCTCTGATATTAATACCTTCAAAATCGAATGAGTTACATACATATTGCGCAACGGAGGACCCTTCCGTCCCCGGTGGTACGTGGTGGCATCGTAGCACTCTCGTTATTATGGTAATAGGCGAGTCAAGACCCCGCGGTGACGTAACAGGCAACGCAGCTGTGACATGGGTAACAGGCAACAGCGGTACCCATTGCGTAACAGGCGGGCGCTGCGACTATATAAGGGAACTATACAGCAGCTGAGGGCAGTTAAAGTGTACCAGTAAGCAGTGAAGTAGTTCTCAAGTTAGCAGTGAAAGAGTTAGTGTGTGATAAGAAGTTAGTGTGTGATCAGAAGTGACACAGTTGGAATCTAGCAGCAGTCGCGGAAAGAAGAACCGGACGCGTGTGATAATCAGGATAGTTTGTGATAAGTTGTTAAATAAACCAATTAACAATCCGAACGGCGTCTTCAGTAACTAAACACGTTACAATATATATAAACATCTCCCATAATGAAAGGCTCCCTACAATAACTAGTGCCTAATTTCTAATTAGTTATAGTCAAATTTTCAGTTTGTGAATATTTTAAATGATGTTCTGTAAAACAGAGTATTTGCGGAAATTATGGATGTAGGTGAGGATAAATTTCACTGGACTTATTTAAGAGGCCACAAATATTTTGATGGTAAATTTTAAAACCATTATTATTAAAATTTTCCTTATGAATATTGATTTGCTTCTCTCCTACTTTCAGACGTCACCATAAGAATCATTCTGTTTAGTAGAGGTTTTTTAATCTACTCAATTTTCATAGTGGCTTAGTAGTTTGTGATTTACTTGCCTCCCTTGAGTAATTTTCACAAGAATGATTATTTATGACAGAAGGATTGTGGGTCTCATTATCAGAATTATTATTATTTTCCTTCCAAGCCAATGAAATTGGTTTCATATCTCTGTGGAAGGTTTCAGAACAAGTTAGAGCAATATTCCTATCAGTACATTTTTCCAAGTTTTATTGAAATGGAGCCCTTGTCTTGTATAGAGCGCTCTATTTAGATCATGGTTTAGTAATGTAACATGTTTGAAACATTTGATACATTTCTCTAATTTCCCATTGTAAACTCTTATCTCAACGTTTACACATGCCCAACTTTCCAAATTGTATCTATGCGGTACAGCTAACAAAACAATGTTTGTATGAGAATTTGTTTTGACAAAGTTCAATATATTTCTTAGTCCTTCTTTAGAGTTATTAATGTAGGGGTGTGCATATTGAGTATGTGCAGGCAGAGGATACCAAGCTGACCCAGGAAGCAAATGATGGCAAGACAGGAATGGAGAATTTTCCTTTCACCTAAAGTGGGCCAAAACAATAGGTACACGGTGTATAGTGCTGAATATTCTCAAAGTGAACAGCTACAAGGTCAAGTGAATAAGTAAGTTACAAATGGATATAGCACTTAAATAAGAGTATTGATTTGAAAAATGCTTTTTTTCTCAACAAAATCTCCCCATACATTGAGGCACTTGCCCCATCGTTTCACAAGCCCCTGAAAACCATCAGCATAAAATTCTTTGGGCTGCTGTTGGAACCAGGTGTGTTCACACAGCATGGCCTACCTCATAATGCATGACAGGTTAGATTTTCACAAAGTCTGCGCATGATGGGTGCCATGCATGCTGACCCCACAACACAAAATGCAAAGATGGGTCTGGCATTACACCATCTCAATCGCTACCAACATGAAGGACATAATATGCTAGCCTGAACTGTCACAGTCTTGGGTTCGACATTACCAGCCCGAGAAAATGCATGCGTCAATGCAGTGGAAATATCCTGCGACGTCTGCCAAGAAAAGTTTAAGGTGACACCATCCTCCAGGAAAGTGATACTCACAGTCTTATGGGATCACGAAGGCATACTGCTCACCACATTCCAGCTTCAAGGACAAACCGTATATTCCGACTCCTACTGTAACAACCTCAGGAAAGTTCTTAACGCCATTCAACTGAAGTATGCAACCTGTTATGCATTATGAGGTAGGCCATGCTGTGTGGTTCCAACGGCAGCCCAAAGAATTTTATGCTGCTGGTTTTCAGGGGCTTGTGAAATGATGGGACAAGTGCCTCAATGTACAGGGAGATTATGTTGAAAAATAAAAGCATTTTTCAAATCAGTACTCTTATTTAAGTTCTATATGCATTTGTAACTTACTTATTGACTTACCTACATATTAGTCATTCTATCCCCTTTGTTGATTCATGCCTTGAATAGGAGCAGATTTTTTAATTTTCCCCATATTCATCACAGAAGTTCCTACATGTTCCTGCTCGTTACATGTTTGTCAGTCTCACCTGTCTTGTAAATCATTTTCTGTATAGTTAGCTCCAACTCTAGCATGTGTGTGTCACCCTGTCTGTGTTGGTGTCTTCATGTCAGTTTCACGTGTCTTGTAAATCATATACTGTATAGTTAGCTCCAACTCTGGCATGTGTGTCACCCTGTCTCAGTGTTGGTGTCTTCATGTCAGTCTCACATGTCTTGTAAATCATTTTCTGTATAGTTAGCTCAACTCTGGCATGTGTGTCACGCTGTCTGTGTTGGTGTCTTCATGTCAGTCTCACATGTCTTGTAAATCATTTTCTGTATAGTTAGCTCAACTCTGGCATGTGTGTCACCCTGTCTCAGTGTTGGTGTCTTCATGTCAGTCCAGTTGATTGCTGTTTTGTGTATGTCATCAAATATATCTGGAAAAAATTAGAATTATCCAGTTTGTAATGTGCCTTTTCCCTCTGCAGGTGTGAATTTTTGCTGTTGTATTTGTAGCTGTCACCATCCATGTTACATTTTGCTTGTCATTTGAAACATATTCGGTAAGAACATTTGTGTTTGGTGAATTTTTTTTTAAATGGCCCTCCTTTATTAGAGGATAGTGATGTTTTCAACAGCTAAAAGTTCAATGGGTTTTCAGATTTAGAATAGACATGTAAGATTTGAGGTTTTCACGGTGGTGACTATGAAGAATGCTATCTTGTGGGATGTGGTGACATGTACACATAGTATAAACCGACATTTTGGAGGTGGTAGATTCCCACGAAACATCGGTTTATACTATGTGTACACGGTGCCACATCTCAGAAGACGGGATTCTTCATAAAACAGATGTCATTGAGGTTACTGGCGTTACTTCTGGTTACGCAGTGTATGTCGTAGTTTCTGTCATATTAGCATGTTTGTATTGTTGCAAAATGAGAAACCAGTTTCTTTCATCAGATTACTCTAAAAACATATGTAGAACCATTCATCTTCAGGAGTGGACCATAAATGTTTTTGAATGTCTTTGACGTCTTGTTCTGTTTATTTCACTGTAGCCAAAAAGATGTGCATTTCTCGTGCAGTTGTGTTTCCTATCCTTGTCAAGTATGTCTGAATACTGGTTGTAGTTTGACCAAATTTTATCTGATTTTTTCGCTTGAGTTACTGTTATTGTCAGATGAGACTGGTTTTTAGGTCCTCCTCAAAATTGGCTCCTATTCAGTACCTTTCTTATTCCTCAAAAGAAGTAACATTATGAAATGGAATAAAATATATTCTCTTGAGAGTAATAAAGTATGTGTATCACTCTTGTGAGATTACACCGGTACGTGTCTGTATTTGAAACTTCTGCCCATAACCTAACCCCAAAGAGATATGCGAAGTTCTGTATCAAGTAGCTGCAGTGCTTTGTGTCCATGTATAAAATGTCAAAGGGTGGCAGACTCTCCACCATTCCACCCCCAGCTAGAAGCATTTGAGTAAGCCTTTATTTGTTTTGGTCTTCCTTGTAAGTCATTAAGAGGCTGTTGTCTTGGGACAATGAAGTGCAAATATTATATTGACAGAGTAATCAGAAAAGGACAGGACTGGAGCATGAACCTTTCTGTCTAATGATTACCCTCCTGGGGCCACGTTTATAGATATTTCACAGCTGGAAAGTTGAATGGAAATTTGTGTAGAGCAGTGGATGAACTCTCAGTGCCATACCTGTTATAATAATTGGCGTTTTGGTGTTGTAATATTCATATTTTGTGGCATCCTGCTATGTAAATCACTAGACGATATTAATTATATTTCTGTTGACAAAACACTATTTCCAGCAGGTGGAGTCACTCTCCAGGACAACATGTTTCGGCACACATTTGCCATCTTCAAGTCTAAATTTTTTTTTAAATTTGCTTAGTGGGGGGTGGAGTCCAGTTGGGTCCACTCGGCACAGCGGCCACTGATTGGCTTAATGTAGCCTTCCCCGGGTGATTATGATGATGGGGAATTTGGTGGAATGAAGATTGGCAGGGGAAACCGAAGTACTCAGAGAAAACCTGCCCCAGTGCCACTTCGTCCACCACAAATCCCACTTTACCAGACCTGGTATTGACCCTGGGCTGCCGCGGTGAGAAGCCAGTGACTAGTTAGTTAGTTATTGGAGAGGGTGGGTTTCCCCACGCACTGAGACCTGTATTGGTCCATTGTGCTTCCCTCTATGATTTCTACCAGTCTCTATATCCTACCGGTACTGGTGCTTACCATAAGTCCCGCCCAGCCAGCGAGACCGGCTCTACTAGCTGAGAGGTGTCTATAATGCTTCCCCCATCTACCGGAGGTATTAGAGACTGCTGTTAAGCGGGAAACGTCCGTTAATTTGGCTCAGTGACCTCCTTTGAAGATATGAGGTTCTTTTACGTGCCGTAAAGCTATGACACGGGACCCACGGCTTAAGGTCCCTCCCGGAAAACTTGTTCCCAGAATTTTTCCGCTTTTAAAAATTCGACGACATCCGCCGGGTATTTGAACCCGCGTACTACGAGTCATGAGGTGGGAACGTTACCTCTAGACTTCGGAGGCAGCTAGCCAGTGACTAACTGCTTGAGCTATGGCAAGGCCTATTTTCAGGTCTATTTTTTAGTTTAAATTATTCTATAATAAGTCATCGTAAATTTTAATATAAGCCGACTGGCTCCACCATAGTGTTATACACTGTATATTATATACTACAATGGGTTGGTTTATTCTCTTTTTTTAACATTGTGGTTATTTTGTTCAGTGGTTACTAGTGAATGTTTTATAAGAATATGTGGCACTGAAGCACACTATCCGTCCACTCCATGTTTCCTTATTCTGCTGTTCTTCCTGGGATGGCTTGGGCAGAGTTCTTGTTGTCACTGCTGTTTGTACAGAGTAGGATGTGGTTTTGGTGGTTTCACAGTTTCTCCTACTGGGTAATCCAGTTTTCTGTACCAGACTTGAAGGTGACACACATATGCTGAAGCATGTTGTAGGCAGCAACTCCACCTGTTGGAAATAGTGTTGTGTTGACAGGAATATAGTCACTGTTATCTGTAGCTGTAATACGCAGTTCTAAGTCAGCATATCCAGCCTGTAACAATGCAGCACATGGTTGATGAATGTTAATAGGTTTTGTATTTGTAGAGAATTACAGTTGTGTTATTTTGTCAAGAAATAAGTCATTTTTCCTGTATACAAACTCCTTTTCTATATTATTCTGCATTCCTTTGTGCCTGTAGTTTGTTTCCTGGGTAGTCATAACTAGTTTCTGTAGTGCAACCATTTAATTCATAAAGCAGTCACTGCACACAATTTTTTCCCCTTGGCACTACAGCCCCAGTGGGCCTAGGCCTACCTCCATGAACTTCTCCGTTCACTTCGGTTTTTCTAGATCTTACACAATCGGTAGGACTACTTGGGCGGGTGATCAGCCATCACAAGGCCTCTACCTGTACACAAACACAGAAAAACGCACACACACAAACTAAACATCCATACCCTGAGTGGGATTCGAATCCACGATCCCAGTTTCCAAGCAAGCGAAGAGGGTACATGCCTTAGACTGCTTGGCTACCGTGACCAGCCTGCAGAGAATTACAGTGATAAATAATAGAAAATTCGTCAGTGGGAAAATATATTTTGAAGATTTTCATAATAAATGAGCACTCTATTATTTCAGGACAGATTATTCAAAGAAAACTTGACAAAAAGCAAATGTTTCTGGTACAGTGTACTTTTCAGTTTCTGTTTTCATTTATGACTGCCATCAGTGACATGGCCCAGGGTCACCTGTTTTACCATGAGGATGTTTTGAGTTCATAAGATTTAGGTATGTCGGCTACAGCAAATATCACTTCTGTCCTTGTGAAGAGGTAAGAATAGGAGCGAGAGTCTTTGGAAAATATGATAATAAATATATGACAGGGTTAAGATGCCATTAATGTTCAAAGTAAAAATGGTAGGTCCATGATTTATACAAAATTAGACATTGCATTCTACAGGTTAGAAATATCTGGTTTACATGGATATATCATTCAAGGTTTTCAGACTTAATAACTATTAATAACTATTAATAACTTTATTTTCAGGGTTACAGCTCAGTCACACTTATCCCCTTGAAAATAAATTTCTTGAGTAGCAATGCAGTGCTCCCAACACATTTTCCACATTCTGGTACACAGTTTGGAGGATGTTCATGTGTTCTGCTTGTAGTGTCATAAAAAGTAAAAGTAAAAAAGTAAAGTTATCCCTGTAACAGGCCACGAAGGCCCATAGGGTTGTGAGATGCTGAGGGTCCCAAATTATCTAGACAATTGGCTCAACGATGGTGGTAAGGTTGTCAGCCTTATGCGCTGGCCGCACTTTACTCCCCAGGAAAATAATTTCATTAATTCCTGGTACTCAATCTGTTAGAGGCTGAGTCGACCCCAGGGCCATAGTGCGGCAGGAAGGATTAGGTCGATTGAAAAAAAATCCAATCACTTCATCGGGACTTGAACCCGCGACCTTCCGGCTTGTAGCATAGTGCCTCAACCAACTACGCTACCGCATGCAATGTCCAATATAGCGTAGTTTGTATTCATCTGACCAATCCATAACAGTTATCTCAATATACTCAATCCAAGCAATATATAAATCTGTAACTAGCTGATCAACGAATTTAATAACATGCAATGGCAGAAGAGCACAGATAACGTA